GAAGAAAAAAAAAAAAAAAAAACCCTTCCCCCCCCCCCCCCCCCGTTTTCTCAGCTGCTGCTTCCTTTCCTGTTGCCTCCTTCTCTGCAAGGCAGTCTATCCTTTAGTTTGACTCTTTATTTTTACTCCTGGGCTTTGGCTCTGTTTGTTCAGTCTATTCGCTGTGAGTCCTATGGCTGCAGTGTTCCCAGGAAGTCATCTTGTCTCCTGTCCTCCTCTGCCACCCAATGCTGCTCTTTGATTGGCACCTACTGTTTGATTGGCAGCTGGGTTGTCCTGACGCTGGGGGCAGGTGAGAAGGGAAGGGAAGGGAAGGGAAGGGAAGGAGCACAAGGGCTTAGAATCTGCTCTGTCCTTCCATCCATACTAGCTGCAATATGTCAGAACTGACCCAAACTGTTCTTATTGTTAACAGCAAATAATGCTGCATCTAGTGCAGGCAAAACTGAGGCTACTAACCTAGTCTACACTTTCTTTATCTTGCTAAAAAGCATTATATGAAGGCCTTGATTAACCAAAAACCATGATGGGTGGCAGAGGGCAATATCTGTGGGGCCATCTCGACAACCATGGCATATGGAAGACTTTGATGTATAATGTAAGAGGAATAAATGGTAAAAACATAATGAAATGAAATGAAATGAAATGAAATGAAATGAAATGAACTATAGATATGCTATGTGGGAAATCAAGAGAAATGGGAGGATATAATAAATCTGAATGAATGTGGTCTGATCTTGTGGAATGGAGTTAATAAATACATGCAAGGGTATGAAGTGGTAAATTTAATTATGAATGAGAGGGCTAAATTGTATGTCAGAAAAAATAAATTGGTATCATCCAGGTTGCTGTGAGTGCATATGTAAGTAGAAATCCATTGGCTGGTGATAATTGTATATGCACTTCAGTGAATGGTGATAATGGAAGAACTAGAGATGAGTTTTGGGAAAAACTGTAACATTCTGAATGAATGCAATTCTAGGGAAAAATTATTCTGCTTATATGACATGAATAGGTGAATGAGAATGAGAAAAGCAAGTATATTAAAAGTAATTAAGCTGCTTGGAGATTCAGGAATAAATGAGAATGGTGCCTAGTGAGACTCTGCAAAAAGGTCTACTTATATTGAGTATGTGATTTAAGCATAAGCACTCATGTACATACCATGTCATCTAATACCTAATCATCTAAATGGGGGCAAGAAGGAGCAACTGAGAAAATGTGTTTCGGGATATTGTGATACAAACTCTGCCCCTTACATTCTTGCGAAGAGTGTTGCAAACCAAATATGAAAGATTGGCCTGTGTGTCATAATGACGCAATGAATGCTTCATCATTCTGGCATCATTTTCATCAGGAATGGATACCTATGAACACATGGCAAAGGAAAGAATATAAATCTAAAAGCATAATGGGATGATGAAATAACCAACAAATTAGTGAAACCTACAAGAGTGATGAAAGATTATGAATGTGGGAGAGACCATTTTTTGATAGGGTCATAGGTATATTTGAGGAAAAGTGACATGGAAAAAAATAAATGAAAGAAACAAGAGTGCAAGAAAAAAAAATGTCCTACATGAAAAAAAGAAAAAAAAGAAAAGACAGATTCAT